AGCGACAAAGGAACGGGTCCATGAACTGCCGCATTAAAGATTGAAAGCGGGGGTGGGAGGCCACGGGGGCTAATTTTACTCGGTCATTTCAAGCTGACTGCATTTTTAACCAGCAATTACCGCAAGCGTTAAATTATCGCAACGGCAGGCCATGTTAATTATGTCGATTTTTGCGTCTGCCGATCTCACCCCAGGCCGCAATGCCGGCAATATTTTTGACTATGACGGGTTTTTTTTTCTTCCCCCGTACGCCACACTGCAGCGCTGTCTGCTAATTGAAGTTGCCAGGGGCTGTCAATTTGAAAATAAAATTGTTTTTAGCATTTTTTGAAGAATATATATGCATGCAAAACAGAGCCCCCGCTACCGACAACCGCTTGCGCTGCTTGCGAGCTTTACATGCAGAGGCAAGTGGCCTCTTTGAATATTAATTTTGCAAATGGGCCTTCTCTGTCAAGTCATGTAATAAACGCCTCCAGGCACACACACACACACTGTTATCGAGAAGCCAGTAAATAAATAAATAACCGCACGAGAAAAACAAATGCTGGGGGGGAGGGAGGGCAGGAGGGAGGGGGTTGGGCGCAGAATTCACAATGAAATAATTAAAAAAACATGCCCAGAAGAAACAAAATTAACAAAACAACTGCAGAAACGGCTTTTTTCCCTAATCATCTCCGCAGGTTGCGTGATGTTCACCATGTTTACTCGGCTTTCACTTAATGGGGGGCATGGTAGGGGGGGGGGGGTGTCTGTGGAGTGTCGGGAAAATGGTCAAGGAGGCGGGGGGGGGCGAGACATGAGTACACCTCTCGCTAGCCCACCCAAAGGAAGGGAGGAGAGGGGGGATGTTGGGCGGCAGTTGGGGGTTCGAAAGAACAAGAGTGGGACACATGCCAAAGGGGAGGGGGGGGATGTTGGGCTAGGTCTGAATTGATGGGCTTTGTAGACTTAATCCTCTCGCCTCCGCCCCCTACCCAGACAGGAGGGATTAACTCTAACCAGCATCCCTGCCTCCCTCCCCTCAATCCCCGTAACGCACCGATGCCAACGCCCCCACTGCCAAAACCCTAGGGCCCAGACACATGATGCTCCACACCCGAGGGTGCCCCCCTTATCCGCGGCACACCGCAACCCCGCCAGTGAGTTCGTGCAGGGAGAAGCACACCGGGAGCAGGGGGAGCAGTGGAGGTGGGGTGAATCAGGGGTCGCCGAGGGTGCAGCGTGAATTCCCTTGGGGGTGCGCATTGCTGGGTGTGAGCACGGGATGGTGCAAGTTGAGGGGAAAAAAACAGTTCATTAGGCGTGAGGCGTGGTACGCCGCTATCTGCACAGTTACCACTGCGGTAGGATTCATTCGTGTCGCCTTCAAATTATTATGGCATCCTCCAAAAATCTCTTCACTGCCACACACGGCTGCTCTCTAGGCATACCGTAAAAGGTGGAGGCTTACGTCTGTAGTTATATCTATGAACTGCAAGACTGATCTCACTTTAGTCGATTGGAAAACAAAAATCGTGGTGCATACTGAAGGGTCGACAGCAATCTGGCGAAACGTAACAAAGAGGAAATAACACACGAGCATGCCATTAATACTATTCACTGTCTTCCCAAGCTGCTTGGTTTTTTTTAAGCCAAGTCTTGTTTGCTGAATGCCAATCGGTGCACAAATCTGTGCACAAATCGGTGGACAAATCGGTGGAAGCCAAATACTCTTTGTGAAGTGTCATTCGCTGCAAAGTAAAAAAAATACTGATATTTCAGCAACGCTGTACGTTTAATTGGAAGTGGCAACGTAGTGGATTGCGCATTGCGCTACGAACCCAGCCATCCTACTTTGATTCCCAGCCATGGCTAATAATACAAGTGTAGAGTGAAATCTGAACCAATTCTGGGGCGCCCATTCACCGACCCGCACTGACCACTGGGGTGAAGTACGGTCAAACGACACTCAAAACCGACAAGGCATCAGGAGATCTTCATCCAGCAGCGGATTGGCATAACACTACGAATTAGTACCATTATATTTTAAACGCATGTCAGCGTTTGCCCTGTTTATTGATATCAGGACGCTGCACTTGACTAAGACCAGCTAAACGGATTGCTCGCTTCAGCTCTAATGACGCAAACAAGCGAGAGAAAGTCAAAGCAGAATTATTTTTTTTTTTAAAGACTGAGTCCGTGTGCGTAGCAGGAAAGTGTTTGGGGTTGGGCCCAGAGAGTGAGGTGCGCGAGGTTGGGCAGTTGTACTCGTTAACCCTTTTCGAAACTCGCGCACAAAAACATTCCACTTAAGCTGGCCTGCTACGCATCCTATCAACCATTTCCAGAAAGCGGGGATTAGTTTTAATCCGAGTGGAACGTCTAATTATCATCTGAAAGCTGCTTTCCCAGGCGGCTGGAAGCAAACATTAGACTCGGGTTGTGGCGGGGCACGGGATAGGAGGGGATGTAAGGTGGAGGGGGCGGTTGCACGGGTGCTTGGGGGGGGGGATGCGGTTAAGCCTCCGCAAAAGGCTTCAAGTGACCAATAGACGCACGGGTCTGCGCACCGAGCATCATTGAAAAATCATTGCCAGCGATCGGCACATTAACATAAGTAGACATAGCCGGAGCATCGCTCCTCAAACCGGCACCGCACCCAACCACCCACACATATGGGCCCTTTACCTCCAACCCCCCCCCCTAACTACGCCGCCACCGCCATCAGCCATCATCCCTCACCACTCAGCCCCTCCTCTCCACCACAACGCACAAAGACCCAGAGTGGGAGTTATATAAAAGGGGTGGAAGATCGCAAATCAATGGCCAACAGAGACTAAAGCACAGCGCTCTAAAACAATCTGCTCTCTCTTTAACATTTGTAAGCACTTTTGCTCGACCAAAAGCAGTGCCGGTTTTATATTTTTAAATACATAGAGTATTTAATCAGCTGCCGTTTACAATGGGGAAAAATAAATGAAGCCAGAGTTAATTGTGAGACAGCTGCTTTTGAATAATTGAAAAAGCTTTGTATATAAAGGCAGCCTGACATTAACAGCACCAACCTAAGTGGGCCATTGCATGTTCCATCGTTTATCATAAACATTGCAAAAAATATTTTTTTATTAATATACAACTTAAATCCTGTCATTAACCTAACCTCATCTCACTCTACTCGGGGTGTATTGATTCATCGATTGATCTGAATCGATTCTTACACTCGCAATGAAAGTATCAATTAGCATGTGTAAAAATCTATTACTGACAATACATTCGAACTGTATGCAGATTATAGGCAGATGTAGGCTACTGGGGTGAATGGGACTGTACAAATGAGATTCGAAAAAAAAAAGCGGCTAGAAACAAGTGAGAGAGTAGAAAGGAGAGTACAAAGCAGATAAATGAAAATCTACAATTCTTAAATACAATAGCAATGCCAAATCGTTGCAATCTATAACATCAACTGGGGCAAGGGCAGCAGTGAATCGTTAAATGCCTGATATTTATTTGACAGTACATTACACTCATTGTACTCCCACCCCTCGTCTTATTTTATACAGGTGACAGCAGTGTGACCCTGTTGTAAGATAATTCACCTTCCACCCCATGCCTCCCTCAACATAATTGTCCTTCATCCCTCCCCCCCCGCCATCCCACCGTGTCCTCCGTCTTGGGATATGACTGCATTAAGTCGCTCCTTACACCCCGGTTGTAATTGTGAACGTAAATCCACCTCCAGCAGCGCAAATCTAGCAAGTAGCACGTGACCCCGTGACCTCAATTCAGCGTCTTTTATTTAATCTGGCAAGAGCCAATTTATCTCTTTTGCATGGGAGACCATGGAAAATGTTCTCCTGCAGGGGGTGATTATTAAAATATTTACTCGTTGCTCTATTTGTTGATATCCCAGTTTGAGAGAAAGCCTATTTACGCGACGCATCGCAATGGATTTCTTATTTAGTATCAACTCTGTGGCAGGCGGCGCGATTTGGCAGCAGCGACCAAAAATACATCCGCGGGTGACTGCAAGAGACGACGATGCATCAGCTTCGTGCGGAACGGCTCAGTGGCGGGTTCACCGGCCACTTGGGTGCCAGCAGATCTTGCGGGCCCTCAACTCACGTGCTGCCAATTGCAGGTGTGTTTGCCAAACAGATGGCGGATCACTTACAACAGGGACAACCAAGGTGGTGTCATATTTTCCACATCGCAAATGACCTTAGGGGGGAACAGATGTATGGATACAACGTCCTCGCAGCGAACCCGTGGGTCAGACGACCAGAACCACCACAACAGGATCGTTCGTCATGAAGTGCCAACCACTTAAAGAAAACAGCCCCGGGGTACGCTGAATCTTTTGCAAACAGGTTAAACAAACCGCGCGGCTGCCTGGCAGCACAAGCGGTGCGCAGAAATACCAGCGACTGGTTGGACAGAGATGCTGCGTTCGCATGGATCAAGTCTGCCCTGCCCGAGTGAAGATGTAATTTTTATACAACGACCCCACCCTTCGTGTAGCCTTTTGAAGCGATGACGAGGTGTGGAACGTACTCTCTCTCTCCCCAACCCAGACACAAACAATTTCCACGTCAATACAGATCACCCTCCCTGCTGGCAAGGCGGCGCCGCTACCGCCAGAGCAACGAGAGCGAGCGAACGAATGAGCGGTGAACGAGAGAGCGAGCTCTGTCTTTTAAGTATCAGTGCCCCGAGGGAACCATTTCCACGCAACAGCTCACGCAGTTTTGCTAACGCAGCGCAGAGCAGAGCGCGAGCAAGTGAGCGAGCGAGCAAGTGCCGGGCTGGGCATGTGAGTGCAGATGAGTGAGCAAGGTGCTGCGAGGTGTCAGGCTAGAGGCAGCAGAATGGGAAAGAGGGGGTTGCTGGCAGGGGAATTGGGGGAGGCGGGGAAGGGGAGCGCATGGGACAACGAACAGTGCACAACCGCGTGTGAATGCAGCGTGTGGGCGGGTGGGTGGTGTAGTATTGTCAATGATATTAAGAAGGGGTATACACACGGCAAATGGCAGGGTCTGCAGCCCACGTACCCCGATGATAGCGTTCAGCTCCGCCATCGTCACCTGCTTGGCCCGTTCCACGGCCTGAGCTACCTGCTGCTGGTGCTTTGGGGAGGTGGGTGGGGAGGTGGGGAGGTGGATAGGTGGGGGGGGGGAGGTAGATGGGGAGTGGATGGGTGAGTGGTGTGCACATTTGCAGAGGAAAGAAACACATGGCACGGGCAGTGGAGAAAGACGACGACACGTGGATGCATTTAAAGTGTACATGAGAGCGAAGGGGCCAGGGAGGATAGGAGCAGATGAGAGGTGAATGGTGGTAGGGGCAGGGGGCACAAGTGTGTGAAGGGAGGGGGATGAGGGGCAGTGCGAGCGAGTGTACGCGGGACAATGGAGAGGTACACACACACGCAGACACATTCTCGCATGTGAAGAGGAGGAATGTTTGGGGTGTGGGGGAGACACAACACAAAGGAGGTTTCGCATGAGAGGCAAGCAGCGAAGACGAGGGAGGGTGCGTAAAGGGGGCGGGGGGGAGTGTGGGTGGGTTGATTGGGTCATCACACAGGGGGAGGAGGAGGAGGAGAGGGGGAAGGGGACCGATAGGCAAAGACTGAATTAACAACACCGGCAAGGAGTAATTGAGGCATCTTCCAACAGTACGCTCCATATGCACACACTGCACACACGTACGGCACATACGCACAGATTATGACGCATTCATGTCAACACACATGCCGGTGTCCAAGTGAAAGGTGCATTATATATATAGATGCATGGGGGTCAGTTTGCCCCCAAGGTGTATTTCCTTTGTCAGCTGGAAATCTTCTCATATTATATTTACATAGGCACACAGCTATGTGTATGTGAACAAACTTCTCGAAAAAAAAAACACATTTACAACGTTATAAACTGTACAGATAAGAAGCAAACTAACAAAAAAAAATCTAAACGAGAAAACTGGTTTCTATGCGTCGAGTTGCCCCGGGTTGGAGGGAAAACAAGGCCAAAATGTTTGCCTTCGAATTGCGTCCACATGTAAATCAATAATGTAAATGGCTCGACGAGAAGAGAGAGGAGGCGGCCCTTGAAAAGATATTACATTCGTAAGTTCCCGGCTGTGGGGGTTGGGATTAGAGCAAAATTTAATGCAGCTCTGCCTCTTTGTTCCTTCCCATTATACGCCGCTTTTGCTGACGCTAAGAAGGGTTCTGGCCCCGGGCACATTTGAACAGAAATAGCGAGAGTAGCTCTTGTGCTCAGTGAGTCTCAGATTAACTGTTACTGCAGAACACAAAAACCTGCAGCCTTTCAGGAGGCGGAATGTTTAGTAGTGCTGGGGGAGCTAGGCAAAGGAAGGGAGTTGAGGATATGGGGGTGAAATAGAGGGGGGGGGGGTAGAATGGGGGGCAGGAGGGGAAGAGAATGAGAGTGAGGGGTGGGTGTTAAGAGGCTAGGGATAAAACCGTAAATAAATAAATAAGGGGGACACAAAAAAAGTGGCTAAAAAGGAAGAAAAAAGCCTAAGACCTCGAAGCACCCAGAGTAAACACGGTGCTTTGCTGAGGCACTTAATTGCCCACACCCTTTTCTCGTGACAGAGAATCGGCCAAATGAATCGTGCATTTTAATGGGCACCTGGAGGCCTGTGGGCAGGCATCAGTTCCCTTGTCTCCCTCTCCCTCCCTGCCCATTGGGGAAACCTGGGAGGTAGCAGCAGGCTGATGAGGGTGTGGGCACCAGGACAGAAGTATTACATCTTTAAACGCTAGCTCACTCACACGGCGCCCCCCCCCCCCATCGCAAACGTCTCTAAAACAAGCTTCCTTCCCGAGCATAGCATCCTCACACAACCAACCCCTGCTGCCTTCGGCCCCGACCAACTTCCCTCCTCTCTTAACTCGCCCGCTGCACGCCACCAACCCAGACTCAACCCTGACCCTCCAAGCAGCTGAATGAGAACACACAGATGAAAACCCTTGGCTGGGAAGGGAAAAAAACCCAAAACACATTTTTTTTTCCACCTGAATTGGACATTGAGAATTCACAATGCGCACCACATTGGCCTCGCGCTGCTAACGGTCACCCAAACGTTCATCAGGCCATCTGCACACAATGAAGCCGCCATGCACAAAAGAATCACTGGAGCAAAAGAGAGAGACCCGAGAGAGAAAAGGAGGGGGTGAGAGAGAGAGAGACACGGAGAGAGCGACAAACAGAGAGAGACAGACACTGAGAGGAACAGACAGAGAGAAGTGGTAAATAAAAAAAATATTAAAATATAAGCGCCAAGTTGGAGACAAATGAGAGCAGACGAGTGCCTAAGCCGTCCCGCAATGGTGAGCACTTACTTCCTGCGACAGGAACGGGATGACTTGCGCAATGATGGCGTTGAGTCTCTTTGCGATCTCAGTCTGAAATGAAGATAAAACGCATTACATTAGCGTCGCCCACCCCCTTAAAATGCTTCGTCAGGGTGCAGGACGTCCGTACACTCAAATGAGCAGAAAAGCCGCGCAGGAGCGATTTGTTATATACTTTGTGAGCGACGGATAAAATGTTCTCATTGAATTAAATAAAAGACATTTTCACGAGTCAAGAAAGAGCCATCAATTGGACTGAGGTTCAGTAGTTAATTGTAGAACATTAAATAACTCAATGTTTTTCACCTCACTTGTAATTCCATTTCACCCAACCGCTACGCGACAATTTTAATGTCAGCTCCGCTCTAACTCTGCGAGGTGATAATAATACATTTATCTTCATCATCTTTTTTTCTCCCTCTCCAGTTTTACAGTTAATTCTCTGCTTTTAGATTACCCCGTGCATATCACTTTGAAACATTTCATCATGCAGATCCGAATTTGAACAAAAATACCCCAACAACTGAACTGCTTCCACAGCAAAAGAATTATCAATACAAATCCTGTGGCACCAGAGTATGTATTTAAGTGTATACATTCAGCGCAAATAAATACACAAATGTACAATAGAAGAATGCTTGCCGTTACCTACCTTATTGTTTATAAAGTACAAACTGTTCATCTGCCAATTCAAGACAAATGGCTCGTCAGCTTTCTTAAAATGTCTACGTATTTTTAGGCTCCCACAGTCTAAAGTGCGATCTCCAACCCTGAAGTCAATACTTCTCTCTCTCTCTGCTCTGAAGGTACATTACATGAAACAACAGCCTTGTATATATTTGTCCGTTATAAGAGAGTCCTCAAGACAAACTTGGTGAGTATGGATTATGTTGTCACGTGCTTGCAAACCACCGCCAGTGCATTTCTATAATTCCTTGCATATGGAGGTAAATTTTCTTGCAATTATAGTATTAGTATGTTCGTTTACCCAGGAAAGTCCACTACCTGAGTTTTAAGACTCTTTTTTATAAGGGTCTAAGCAAGTTTTTTTTTTTGCAGAAGGAAGTGATGCCGTGATGTGTAATCCCAATATGTAGCTATTTTATTTTTCCACTGGGAAGTTTGGTGAGTTACATTGTTTTTTTATAACTACGGGACAAAATCGGAGAAAACCCACGGGAGAACATACACACTCCATGCAGAAAGGCACCTGACTCAGCAATAAAACCAAGTCCCTTCTTGCTGTGAGGCAAAAGTGTTACCACTGCACCACCTAGGCTCCCTCATTAACTTAAGAACAGGGTCAAAAAAACAATGTATACACACAGGCATTCGGCACTGGGAAATGTATTAGGGAGGTAGGCTGGGAATTGTCTGCCGAGGCAGTGTATACTCTATTTAGGCCATGCAGAAGGTATCTGTGTGTGTGCCTGGGTGCCTCAGCAGGGCTCTTATAAAGCCCTGCACGCGTGGAGGTGAGAAGATTTCAGGCTGCACTGCTCCCCGCTGATGAGACAGGGCGCGGCGGTGCAAAGGTCAGAGCATGAAAGGGATTAATTTAGCAAAAGCCAACTTCCATCTCAGAGCCAACCCCCACCGCCACCACCAGCCCCGTTAGCCCCCAACTGAGCCCCCCCCCCCCACCGCCTCTCACCTCTCAACCCCGCCGGCCGTATCAGCGGCTTGGAAAATGAATTAAAAATTCGGCGCTCGCAAGGCCACGCGGGTCAAGCGTAATAATCTGCTGCTGAGTCCGGAGGAGTGGAGGGAGGACGTGCGGTGTGGGTAGAGGTGGGGAGAAGGAACGGAGTGCGGGAAGACAGCGGGGGAGAGGGGGGGGGCAAGGGGGACTCGTAGGACAGGGGGGGGTGGGGTGGGAGGCAGCAGAAGTGGCGGCAGGGGGAGACATTCTGATTAGTCTGCCATTTCTCTTGTCAGCCTCAGTGGCGGCCAGCACTGCAGCCCACTCCACTGCTCCGCTTCATTGGCAAACGACAGAAGCCCGTGGCGGGCGGGTGCACGAGGGAAAGAAGGAGGGAGGCAGGGAGGGGAGTAGGAGGCCAACAGGAAGGCTGACGGCTCACTAGCCCCCCTAATTGAGTCTACTTTGAAATAATGATTGTCCCCGGCGCAGAGCCACAGAGCCGCGGGTAATTAACATCCCTCTTTTTCGTGCATTTTGCGCAAATTGGCGATCAGAGCCTCTGCTGCAATTATCCATCCCGTTCCCCCCATAACCCCCCACCCCCCCCGCCGACAACCCTCCTCCCACCTCACCTCCCATTCCAAATGAAGAAAAAAAAACAGAAAATGGGATGATGACACGGGAGAGAATGGTTTGCACGGCTGAGTGAGCATATAAGTAGGTTCACTCATTGTAATGTGTATTCACTGCACAGCAACCGCATTCAATGCAGCGTTGAGTATTAACTGTGTGTATTTATAGAAGGCCGAAGTAAAAATAATTAAAACGCATTCGCGAAAATAAATAAAATATAATCAACCCCCCAGAGCTGACAAGGCCCTCAACGTAATTATTTTAAAATGACCAAGTAAACAACACAACCGTACGTCGAAACCTTTTCATAATAGCTCTAGATTTTTAATGTTTTGTGAAAATGTGCATTTGGATTGGGATGCCAAATTCTGGATACAGCCACAAACAATGTTTTGTAAACAATAACACCCATGTGGGGCACAATGATCTCACGCTCACTCGCATCTTCACCTTCTTTTCTCCTTTTGCGCCAAGCTCGCGCATTGCTAAAAAAAATACTGCACTAAAAAAATACTAGCCCAATACCTCACGAGGGAACGTCCCGCCTGTCTGACAGAGTGTCAGAGACAGAGTGAGGGTTTCCTGGGTAAAGCCTGCCAATTAATTATTGTTCAATTATCACGCGGGAGCCTGGCAGGCATCGGATACACCAAGTCGACCTCTCCGATGTGCTTTCGGGTTGTACTGCGCGATATTGGCATGATTTTCCGACATTCAACTTTGCTGATACGTCGGACATCGTGCTGAACGTCACGTCGGACAACACGCGGTTCAATCCCAAAAACACATCGGACAGGTTGGCCGAGTTATACAGAACAACCGCGAAAACCTACGCGGTACAGAGTCGACATCAATCGGAAACAGAACTGCCCTGCACAAAGCTGCTACGATCACGATGGGATAACAGTCCGTGTGTCTCTGGCGTGTCCTTACATTCATGGGCATGATGACATTTGTTGTTACGATATTTTTTTTCCCAATACAGGAGCACCTCCCCGTCATCCCCGTTGTTGTAACGTGGTTGCTATGTGTATACATGAAGAGCTGTGTATGTTTACAAGCTATTTTTACATTGTACACGCACACGCGCACACAACCACCCACTCAAGCACGGTTTCACAGATACCTCATTTGTTCCTGGCGAAAAAGTGGGGAGGGTTGAGTGGATCCAATTTAATTTTGGATAAAAACTAATTCCCGTTCATACACATAATAGAACGCTGAGCAAATCTGGTAGAAAGCAGGGTGAAAGTCAGTTTCTCAGAATTACATTTCTGTATCAAGGCATGGTGGGGAATATTTACTTTTTTTCTAAATTGGAATTGTATGAAATTAAACGAGACAGCAATCAATATGAGTTTCAAATGCATAAACACTAAACACTGATATCCTATTGCATCATGCAAACTTTAGGAGTAATTTCCAAGGGCTGGCAACAATTCAAAAGATGGTATGATTTATGAGAAAAGTCAGATTTTGGAACCACAATTGTTACCAAGTGGCAACACGTACGTTCATCTATACTTAAAATCAACTGATAGGATGCACTAGTTTGAATAATTATATTTTGACATTATTTAAACAAGGATGGTTAGGTGACCTTGGTTTGGAGAGGTCTTCATCCAACATCATTATCATGGCTCATGATGATGACGATGATGATGAGGGTGTGGGGGGGGGAAGCACAAAATATTATATGTACACATTAACAGAATACAGTAAATCATAAAATATAGCACCATTACCATTTCCCGTTGTGTGTTGGATGTGGGAGCCGTTTGACTACACTTCAGACTGCTCAGTGCGAGTCAGTGAAGGAGAGTCCCCGTGAATGGTTTTCCTGTCACTCGTCACGAAGTCTAGCCATTGCTGATAATTGAACTCAACTCTTTGGGCTCATGGCCCAGTACCCTATCCACCGTATCAATGCTTCACCCTATTAGCAGTATTGTTATCATCATCCTCAACAGCCAATCCACCGCAAGGATATAGACGCCCAAATCCATCTCATCACTGTACGTGAGCTAATGACATCACTCCATCTCCCCGATGGTTGTGCTCCCGGTCGAGTTTCCTTTCGGCAGCCATTTCCTCACCAGTCTCGCCCACCGGCCATCATCGCTTCAAGCAATGAGTCCTGCCCAAGCCCACTTATTTTCCTCAACAGTCAATACAATGTCTCTAATTTGCATTTCTTCCCTGACCCCGCACGTTCCTCTTTCGGTCTCTCAGTATACCAGTAATGCCATTACACAATACACACGTAGATATATATACACCGTATGCCCATGAAACTAAAACATCCATATATATACACACACTTGCATACATCACACAGTACAGTACTGCAATTCGTATCGCTTGACGAGAGGCTCTCGCAATAAGCGATTGATCAAATTTCAAGTCGGGTCGTAGCAAATGAGCGTCACATGCAGTATCTCATTCCGCTGACCAACAAAGCACAACAAGCGTGTAAGGATTCAATCATCTCCAACTACGTGTCCTGTCAGCACAGTGCGGACTTAGCCACACGTAGCCCAGACAACATTCTTTAACTTTACTTTGGTATTGAAACAACAGCGTGATTTGTTTTCAATGGCACATTAAAAAAAAATCCCCGAGGCTTAAAAACGTATGCTGGTTTATTTTTTTTTTGCGATTTAAAAGATGGCTTTGCTTGTATAAACTTAATTCGGGATTTTTATTTTATTTCTGAGATTGTTTTAGCGTTTTTTTATATCTCTCAAGAACAAACTGAGGGCAAAGATTACAA